TTTGTTTGTTTGTTTGACATGTAACTGTTACAGTTTGTATTTTTGATAATAAATTATTAAAATGCACAGGCAGTCTGATTGCTGTTTTTATGTTTTATAATTAGCCTATAACATTCCGGCCACTGATTTTTGTGTCCGTAAGCGCTGTATACTTTAAACGCTTTACTATTCTGTTTTAAGCGCTTTTCATTTTGAACGCGCTAATATCATGCTTTAGCATTTTCTGTCATATGGAAGTGTTAAACTTCAACTTGGAATGTACCTTTCCTTGTATATACGCAAGTTATTATATTAATATCATAAATGAACGATTATTCGACTAATCGCTAAAATGCAGGAGTGTTAGTCGACTAGGAATATCTTTAGTCGGGGGCAGCCCTACTCCGAAGCGAGAGCAGACACACATGCACCACCTGCATATCCAATAGTATTATATATCATAGCGTATAATAATAGGTGCAAAGATACGAATGATTTTATAAATATATATATATATATATATATGAAAGAAGCAATAATGCATGTGTTCATAATTAATGGTGATAATTAATCCAAATAATCAATGAAATGCACAAGCAGTGGCAAAGCTATTCACAATCGGATGTGCCGTCATGACCAACCTTCACTTTTACACTGGGGAGCCCGTTTCAGTCCTGGCAGGAGACCAACACGTGAGTCCCGAGAAAGTGCCGGGTGATGCGCGCTCTATCCCACAGCTGAGCTCCGGTCAGTACTGAGATCTCCCCCTTCCTTTATACTAATTTGGGCACTGCGTGTGGGCAGGGGACGAGCTGGCCAGGCTCGCCCCTCCCCTCAGGCAATGCGTTCTCAAATTTCCAATTTTGTCCGGGTAATGCTGCTTGTGGTTTCAATCAGAAATGATAAGACAAGTTCCCATAATCAATGCGTCCCCCTCTTCCTGAAGATGGGATAAGTGTCCCGCACACCAATCAGTGGGGTACAAAACTTATTCGGCAACACTTTCTCTCGTCCTTAGGAAATCCCCTCAGAAAAACATGGTAAGCGTTTTTGAACATGGTAAGCATATCATAAAACAAATTAACAAGACAAGCATCCTTGAACAGAATAAGTATTTTTAGGCCAGGATAAGCATTTTGGCTCCTTTCATAAGAAACAAGTTATTCATGAAAAACAAGTTATATAAGTGATCAGTAAAAAACATGCTTCTGTAGTTCAACCTTGGCACAATAATATTATGGGTGAATCGGACGACGTATATGAATCCCAGGATGATTAATCCATACCTCAATCACCTCATATATATGTCTGCTAGGTGGAGTTGGAGGTACTACACCAAATTGTGAGTAATGGAGTCCGACAGTTGCAACTTCCCCAATCATCACGGTGACAGGGAGACATTCAACAAATTTCTTTAATTCTATGCTATGTGAGCGACGTGGCCAGTTGCATGGCCACCTGTGAGTTCATCTTAATACATGGTAACTGCATAATTAGTCCTGCTGACCAACCCCGTGGTGCCACATTATGTCAGCCAATCACGAACAGTGGGTCGAATCAACAAATGAAAAGGTTTGCCTTGGGGACCCAGCACAGGTTTGTCGAAACGGTAATCCCAACGGCAATTACGAATCATACAACATCGTATTTCTAAAATGACGTCGATTCCATGGATTTTGTTCGCAAGTATATGGCCACTTTTACGTTTAAGTCTTGACTTCTTTAAATCCAACAAGTTATTTCTTTTTTTTCTCTCCCCCTCTCTCCATCTCCCTTCTTCTCCTCCCCCCCCCCCCTCTCCCTCTCCTCCTTTTGAGGAACTAAATAAAAATAAATAAATATTTAAATAGAAATAAAGCAGTCCTCCGCAGAGGGGGGTGGTGGAGGGAATATATAAAAAAAGAACGTTCGTAAGTAGAGGAGCATCTGTACATTAAAGATTTTCTGACATATAGAAAATAAAATCAATCAAAAGCAAATAAGTAAAAAACATTATGGTCAGAAGACATTGCTCAGTCAAAGTGAAACTGGGTACAGTGGTATATTTTTATTTTCATTACAACACACAGGCAGAACGTGCACAGTAGAGAGCAGTTCAGGCTGGAGGTTTCGAAATGATGTCAGTTCGCAAGTATATGACCACTTTTACGTTTAAGTCTTGACTTCTTTAAATCCAACAAGTTATCCAGTTAAGCAAGAAATTGAGCTTCGTGGACAAGCGCCGTTTGGTCAAAATTGGGTGCAAATGGCGGGGCCAACTTTACTTTCACGTGACCGTGCAAAGAAACATATCTCAGAAACTAAAGAATCACATGGGGGTACGCCATGTTCATCTAAACCTCCAGGATCAGGTTTTTTTGAGGGTATTCTGCCAGCCATTAGTATCTGTGAGTGGCTGAAGTAGCTGTGTTTGTTTTACAAAGGGACCAGAGCTCTGGAAAATACAGCTCTGGAAAAAATTGACACCACTGCAAAATTTTCAGCTTCACTCATTCTTATTTTATGAGTATGTGTCTGTGTAAAACATACATTCTTTTGCAAACTCCAGCCTGGTTCTTCCCTGCTTCTCATTAATGAAGGGCTTCTTCCTTGCTTTATGGGATTTCAGTCTTGCTTCAAGGAGCCGTTTATGAACTGTCTTGGCAGTGCACTTCACACCACTTAATGTCACCTGTACTTTTTGTCATCCTCTGATTTATGAGGCACTGCTGGATTAGTTAACGGTTAACAGTCATCTCTGGCGTTAGAGCTCCTTCTGCCCTCTATCTGGCTCCCACTGTCTCCTGCTTCACCTTCTTCTTCTGTCCTGCTGTCTTGGACACTTTGAGCCTGGAAGCAGCGCCTCACAGTGCAGCTTCCTGCCAGCAGAACCAGGATAAAAGCCGGATTTAAAAAATCAGACTTTTAAAAAATATAGTGTGGGCTCTTAATGTCTTCAGAGCTGTTATGTAAGAGGCCTGAGCTGTTTTTCTTCGTTTCATTTTCTAAATTTATTATTTTACCTTTAGCCAATTTTCTTTATCTCTTACACTTTGACTGTGATAATTTGATATTTTTATAAAGTATCTTTTTGAGTAAACAGTTTTTGTCAGAATGAAGCTTATTCTATTGTCTAGATATTTCAAAAGGGTTGCAATTCTGGTGTAATTAGTGTCTTTGGGTATTTACTGAACGCCTTTTTGCGTGTGCGCACGTTTACGGGGGGGGGGGGCTGGTTTGGTCACTGCAGTATTGAAGACTAGCCTACATCCATGGCTGGTGTCCGCATGAGTGAGCCTATTTCAAGGAAAGTCTGAGTGTCATGTTATTCAAAAATTAAAATTCTCAATGTTCTCAGAATTTCCTGCTCACTCAGGGATGAAAGTGGTCTGACCGGGAGTCCGATGATCTTGGAGCAGACTTTCACACTGAGTATGACCTTGTTGACCCCAAAGCTATTGAGCTTCCTTAGGAGATATTGCCGCTGCTGACATCTCCTTAGAATGTCCTCGGTGTTGGAGGCAAACTTTAGGGTGCAGTCGAAGATAGTGCCCAGATATTTGTACTCCACACTGTGTTTAAGCGCTGGGCCAGAAAAAGATTTTGATTTTACTGTTCTAAATGCAGCCAAAGAGTGATTCGCAAAAAACTAAAACCGCAGATTAAAATTATGATAAACTTTGCTGGTGCTGGAGGAGATTCTTGTGCTTACAAAGTATGTGCAGCACAGATGAACATGGTGCAAAATGGGCAGAATACAAAGATGGTACTCATAGTGCAAATAAGTAAATGTGGGGCATCAAATTAAAAAGTTCTCTGCGCAAACATAATACCCTGAAAAGCAGAATATTGGAACATCAAGGAAGTAAAAGAAGGATAAATTACCAGTGGTATTCGTACAAGATAGGATGCTTCCTGACATATATACACATATATGTTACATGCATGTTTGATATGTGTTATTAATGTCGTCCAATAAGGACAACCACCCAGCCTCCAACGCCATTGGATAGAGGTTAACAAATGACTGACATTACCCAATCTCATGCTTATGCTGAGGGGAAGGGGAATGTCACCCTAGGGGATCAGCCACTGGCTTAGCTAGAGTCTTCTAATTAGGGAAGGATTTTGCTGCAGGGTTTGAGAGTTCCTATATATGTACCCTTCCCACAAGGTATACAGTGCACGTTCTTAAATCTGACAAACATCCAAATTCAAACAATACCAATAACTGGGAAAATAGCTGTTTACTGAGCATGATATTAGCCTTTTTTCAGATGCACAACAAAGGCTTAAATTGATTTGGCAAAGTAGCATATGGAGCCGTCATTATATGTGAACAATGGTAGTAGCAGAAAAACTGTGAACCTTGTATTGGGACATAGGCTCCGATTTAGTGAAGAGTAGGAATCCTATCTTACATATTCACTTGTCATAGTGCTGTCCTGCATCTCTAAATGAATCACATGCAAGGTATGCTGATCTTACAAGCTACCCTCTCTCTGTGGATGTTCTACAGGTATCTGGATGCCTACCTTTTGCCTTTCCTGATGTCTGCAGAGCAATACTTCATGGTGGGTCTACCTGTGACGTATTACGTGTTTACAGACTATCCAGAGAAGATTCCTAGTCTCAAGCTGGGCCAAGGGAGGACTCTTGAGGTCATTCAGGTCGCCAGGGAGAATCGCTGGCAGGATGTGTCCATGATGCGCATGAAGACCATCACTGATGCTATTGACGGTCACATCCACCACCAATGCGAATATGTCTTCTGCTTTGACGTGGACCAGATTTTTACTGGCCGGTTTGGCTCAGAAGCTCTTGGAGATTCAGTGGCTCTACTTCACTCATTCTACTACCACAGACCCAAGATGTTCTACACCTATGACCACAACCCCAAATCGGAGGCCTACATGGATAAAGGGGATTTCTATTACCATGCTGCCGTCTTCGGCGGCCGGTGGCAGAAAGTGAGAAACTTGACTGAGGCATGTTACCAGGGCATCATGAAGGACAAGGAGAACGAGGTGGAAGCCTTGTGGCACGACGAGAGCCACCTGAACAAGTATTTGTTTCTCCACAAACCAACCAAGGTGCTCTCCCCCGAGTACTGTTGGTCAATGTTCATCGGCCACCGCAACGACATACGTGTCCACCGCCTGCTTTGGGCCCAAAAACAATACAACGCACTCAGGAACTGAGCAGTGTGGCACCTGGAAGACTGGTGCAGATACCACATGACTCAAAGTCACTCAAGTTCAGAATGTGTAAATTCTTTGTTGTCTCTGCGATAATAATGTCCGTTTCCGCATGTTCTGAACATACACTGAATATCAGGTCTCAAATTATGCACTCCGTGCCACTTCATACCAAAGATGTTCCATGTTCCAGTGTGGATTATGTTAGTCTTTATTCATGCATAACCTAGATGAAGGTGGGGAGAACCTGAGTCATTTGCCCTTAGGGTTTAGCTCTCTGTGAAGGTCACAAAGAAAGCAGAACCATTCGTCGTGAACCAGAGGCCTTGGTGCCGAAAAGCTGATTTCAAATTCAAGTAAAATTAAAATTGCACTATAGTCCATCCAGAAACAGTACGACAAGGGTTTACTGTAAATTCATACATTTGTGGTTGACGCAGGGTCTCTCACACAGCTCTGCTTGCTGCTTTGGACGGGAGACGGAATGTTTGCTTTGGAATTTACTTTATTCCTAAACTGCTTTTATGTAGGTCTTTGCTGTCATGTACACATGAAAGTGTGATGGTAGCTGCATGTTCAACATTCATGTTGTACAAACGTTAAACATTGAGTGCCTTGAATATTTCACATTCATAGCTGTCCACAGTCCAAATGTATGTGTTTGTTTTGTGTTTTTATTAAAGATAATTTTTTTTGCATTAAGCTATGCCAGTACAGGCTGTCATTTGTAACATGTTTCAAACACGTTCTTTAGGGAAGGAATAATCAACACAGGATACAAAGTTACGTTAAGTTCTTGATGCTTTTAGTTTACCATCCACCCTCCAGATTAGGTCATTGTTGCAGAAGTAAAGAAGATTACTTCTACTGTTTATTAATTTTAATATACTCTCCATGAATTATCACCAGTGAAGTACTGTTAATAGGATTTACCATAGTTCTGAGTGGGGAAAAAAGTGTACAGTTTTGAATTTCACTTGAATTTGAGTTACTAATAATGTCTGCATATACTGGCTACAAACACTTAAAAAAAAAAAAAAAAAAAGTAACAATAAGAGTCTCACTGTAGCCAACAGGTTGAAGGCTGAGGCCTGTTAAATGGGTGGTGCTACTGCCACCTGGTGGGAACTGAGGGGGTGACAATTTTTACCGTTGCCATCCACTCAGCGTGGTGAAACTGAGCAGGGGCCAGCAGGGTGTGGGTACCGGCAGAGAAGCTTCTCTAAGCCGCTACATGGGCTGTGACCACTACTGTTGCAACCTTTCATGCGAATAGAGAGACTACAACTCCCACAGAACATCAGGAGGGCAATAAGTGATGGCTTCCCTGCAGGTACCTCACCAAAGCCATCCCCCTTGCAGAACACATGACAGGTACGCTAATTATATTCCGGCTTAACATTTATCCTCCCAGTTTTATCTGAGGGTGACTGGAGGGACCCAGAACCTTCGGTACCAGACACAATTGGACTGAGGGGACCACCTTCAAGCAGACCACATGTGTGATGGTCTATAAATTTGAGCTGGTTTGACTGACGGCTGTCACAGCCTCCTGATGACCCCCTTCATTGCTGTCTTCTCAGCCACTGGTTGAAAGCCAGGCTGTTAGAGAAGCTTGGCTGTGTTGCGTATCAGTCAGGTGGCTGCTTTGGATGTGGCACAATGAAATGGAGTATAAACTAATATAACGGTATAAATTGCTGATGTGCGAATTTTCGTTTTACAGGGTGGTTTGGGCAACCTTATTAATATTCATGAGAGAAGTGCTACCTTATTGGCCAGTGAATGTCTTAGAGTTCACCAGCCAATTAGGTAGCTTCTCTCATGAATTTTAATAAGTTTTTTCAAACCACAATTAAATAAAAACAAGTAGCACTTGTCAATAGGAGTATGTTCACAGGCCAATCAGGTAACATATCTCACAAATGTAAATCAGTTTTCCCAAACCACCCTGTAGAATGAAAATTCTCATCCTCTGCTGGTACAAGAATGCATCCATATGCAAAACCCCAACTGAAAATGTTGGCTGTTATGTCAGTATGCGGGGCAAAGGGTCAAAATGCTGTGCAATACAACACAAAGCGGAACACCTGGCCACCATAAATCGAAAACAATTGACTTTTGCGACTAATAACCTTTCTACAGTAGCAGACAGTGCTGTTACACTTGTGGAGCCTGAGTCTCCTATACTCAAAACTGGTAGAATTTATGTATAATTTTGTCATTATGGTTTTCAGTGGCCTACATCTGGTCTACATCAATGGTCTATATCAGGTCTATATCAGTGGTCTACATCAGGTTTACATCAGGTTCGATCTATCAAATTTAGAAAAATGGTACCAGCCACCTCATGGAGATATCAGGAGGGTCATTGGGTATATATTGAATATCCCCGTATCCCAGTATGACAATTTGTAATTATTGTCTCACAATATAAATTTCTTGTTGTTCTCTGATAGAGGATATTGACCCAATCCCATGGTGAGGTCATGTGTCTATACTGAAAATACAAAATTTCTCATACTGAAAAAATGCATATTCTTTTCCCTGCTGCCTGTAAAGGCGCTATACAAGATCTATCTGCAGAAGCCAATAAAAGTGTAAGATGGACCATGTGAAAGCCAAATTAAGACCCAAATAGAAATCATTAGAGCATCAGCTAAAAGTGAGTGGATACTGTAAGTGGCAAATTAGTTAGCCTAGATTTGTTCGGTTTCTCAGTTTATAGAACAGACCTGAACTTCCAGTTAACAAACCCAGCTTAGTTGCCATATTTTTGTTTATGATGCTTACTTATGCATTTATATGCAGAAGGATTTGAACACGGGACCCTGTTCTGTAAACTACTTACTACTACTGCTTTCACCTGTAAAAAGGTGTTTGCAACAATCATTTATGTTTTAGATCAAACAGCTGGAATAAAAGGCGACTTACAGTCCAAATGATTCCTTAAGCTTTGAAAAATATATATTTTTTAAAGTGATCATCTCCCTGCAATGGGTTGGGGTCCCGTCTTGGATTATTCCCTGCCTTGTGTCTGTAGCTTCCGGGATAGGCTCTAGACCCCTACGGCTCTGTTTAAGACAAGCGGTTATGGAAAATTGATGGATGGATGGATGGTTAGGTTGTTGAAGAATGAAAGGTATGGAAAGAGCAGAGCTCTTGTAATACACTAGGTGGCAGCAGAGTAACTCATACTAGGAGAACAATGACCATTTTGATACCTTAGAATTCTTTAAAGTGTCACTATATTATTATTTTGATAACATAAAAATCTGGCTCAAGTTTTATTATATCCATCCATCCATCCATCCATCCATCCATCCACCCACCATGCCATTGATCCAGTACAGGGAAATTTCTTTATACTCAACAGTATAATAAAGATTAGCTATAAATACAAAATGTGCCTGTTTTAAATATGTACCCATAACCAGATGAAAAAAAATTGCAACCCACTTTTATCTCAGTCTGCCATGGGTGGTCTGGGTTTTGTTTTTTTGGTGCAAGAGGAAGCAGAGCTGGTCTCCTGTGAGAGGCAATTTAGTCGTGGCCTAAACATGAATAAATCCGGACAATTCCGTGCGGACATCAACAAGAACTCAGTTAACTGATCTTTCACGCTGTTAAACTAACTAATGGTCACTGTAAAATATTTCACCAGGTTAACAATATATATTAAGTCACTAAATAATCTAAATTCCAAACTGGTAGCAGATGTGCACCTATTAAGGGAAAATATCTACGAGGTAGAGAAAATGGTTACAGAATGGGAAAGTATATTTGTGTAATACAAGTATATTATATTCATGGGAAATTTTATGTGTCAGGATAATATTTAAGAAAGAGAAGATTATAGTACTGCTGGAAGCTGATGCTAGAGTTGAAAATGTATACAATGCATATTTGCTTTGATCTCAAGTAACAGCCAAAGACTGGAAATATAGACCATGGTAACCGAAATGTTCCACATTGCAGGAGAAACTGTGAGCCAGTCGGTGTTTACAGTATGCTTTCTTTTTCATGTGGTTTGTTCTTTTTTTGTCCTTGGGTGGGTCTGCTTGCCAGGGAACTGGAGGCTGCAACTCCAGACTCAAAGAGGGGAGTGAAGCAGAGAGGAAACTCACCCAGAAGGAAATGGGTGTTGAACAGTTTTTTGCTAAAACACCAGGCACGTTCCCCCACTGGCTCTGGAGAGCAGAGAGGAAGAGGCGGCTGATCAGCTGAGAAGGAGGGAGTCCAGGAGCCCAGGCTGTGCCGTGAAATTCGCCTTCTCTTTGTCCTGGGACATCAGCTTATCGGTTAAGGGTGAGTTGTCACATTAGATGTCATGTAACGTAGTTGGGGTGGGCTTTGTAACAAAGCGGTTTCCCTGGAGATCACCCTAAAGTTGTTTTCTCTGCAGGTCTTAGCTATAACCAGGGAGAAAATCTCTCAGAGTGACTATTTCTCAGTTAAACTAACATCAGCTTTCTTGTTGAGTTTGTTGGTGGCCTAGGTACTGAAAATACCTTATCTTCTAAAATGGACAATATCTATAAAAAAAAACTTATTTTCCACTGACCTTAATATACACACTGGCCCTTTGAGGATAAGACTGCCCAATGTGCCCATCCATGTTTTAAAACTTTCTACTGCAAGGGTTTAGAGTTCTTTCAGTTTCACTTCCATGAAAGCAGCTGCTAAATTTATAAGAGTGTATTACAATAAAGGGATAGGAATTGGTTAAATGGTGGAAATGTAACCGATTGATATAAATACTCATCTAATTAAAAACAAATGGCAATTATTCAGATTGGGTAATCTGAATCAAATTAATCAAATTATTAAGATTTGTCTGTGGCAAATCTTCATGGAATTGGCTGACCCCAGATTATGCTGCAGGATCCTATTTTCTCTGACTCTCCATGCAGCATCCCTGACTTGACTCCAGATTATGACCCTTTTCCTGTTGCCTGTGACTTTCCGTGCAGAATTCTCCGAATTGACTCCAAATAATGACCCTTTTCCTGTTGTCTGTGACTCTCTCTGTGCAGAATCCTCTGAATTGACTCCAGATTATGACCCTTTTCCTGTTGTCTGTGACTCTCTCCGTGCAGAATCCCCTGACTTGACTCCTGATTACCATGCTTTTCCTGTTGTCTGTGACTCTCCGTGCAGAATCCCCTGACTTGACACTGATTACCATGCCTTTCCTGTTGTCTGTGACTCTCCTTGCAGAATCCTCTGAATTGACTCCAGATTATGAGGCTTTTCCTGCTTTCTGTGACTCCCCTTTCAGAATCCCCTGACTTGACTCTTGATTACCATGCCTTTCCTGTTGCCTGTGACTCTCCATGCAGAATCCTCAGATTTTACCTCTCATTACGATGCCTTTCCTGCTGGTGTCTATGACCCTCTTGCACCTCATCACCCTGGCCATGCTCTTCATTGCCACCACAGAGAAGGTGAGCCACAACCACCACGAATTTTTGTGGCTGAACTATGAATAATGTGCTCTAATGTGCGCTAATTAGTCTTAAAAATTCTGCATCACGAATACCATTAGCAAAGGAGTTTGTCTAATTAAGTTCCTTTTGATTGTACTTGATCATATACAGTGTGATACTGCCAAAGAATCTCAGATAAAGCCTGTACTGTCTTGTCTACCGTTGTCTTTTATTCCTCTACTGTTTGTTCTGTATTGCACTATTGTTTGAATCCCCCCTTCCCCCATGCACCAGTCCCCTCCCTTGCAACTGTAGCATAAGAATTTCAGTGTTCCTTGGAACACAAATGAAAATTAAAACTTAAAACCTGAAACTTGTAACGTGAAACTAGAGAAACAAGGTTATAAACAAACAGAGTTTTTGATTGATGTTTTGCATACTGCTGCACAGTCATGCTCTACTATGTCATTTGTTTCACAATTATCTTAGGGACGAAACAGTCCCTTTTCCTCTTTATTCTCCAATACTTTTTTTCAATGTCGTAATCGGCATCAGAGTTTCATCTGGGTGTAAACATGCTACCATGCTAATCTGCCTTCCTTGCCTCTCATTCTCAGTCGTGGTGGGTATGGGGAACCACGGAAAGCTCAGACCTATGGTATAACTGTCACCTTCACAACATCACTGGAAGCTGGCAGTGTGCCACCACTCCGGAAAATGGTAAACATCACCGTCACATGATTCTTCACTCGGGCTCCTCCTCCAATGATGTATAGAGAACATTTACTGCCAATTGAAAAGACAGACCCAGAGGTTCCCATTATAATAAATCACACCTACATACTCATACTATTCAATTCAAATTCATTTGTCTTTATATAGTGCCCTTCCCAACAATACCGTCCAAAACACTTAAATATTTTCGATCAATAGAAAAACATCAGACTGAATAAACATCAGCACTAATAGACATGATGAAAAAACCCAGTAAAACAAATTGCTGAATCACGCAGTTTACTAGAATGTCACCATAAAAGGGCCCCTCCTATACTTTTCCGGTTTTTCCCTTTCCTTTAGTGTGTTATATGGCTTTATGTGCATGTAAATGGCCTGCAAAGTCTTATGGCCCAAAGGGAGTAACTCTCACCACAGAAACCACTCTTCTCTAATCTGCCTGAAACACCTCATTGGAATTCCAGCCCTTACTTCCGAGACAAGGTGAGGTCACCTCGTAACATAATCCTTCTTAGCCGCCTACCTGCAAGGATCTATCTGCAGAGTGCAGGACGTAGGCGGAACGTATAGGGCAAGCTGACCAATCAGAGCACACCGGGCTCATCAGGGGCGGGCTTAAGGCTCTAACAGAACATTTCAGACAGAGTAATAGACAGAATGAATAGAGATATACAGTATGACAAAAATAATGTGTTTTGATGTATGTATGTAAATCTATTGTAATAGACCCCAAAAATAAGATTATGCGCAGTGAAAATGAGTATAATAGGGTCAGTTTAATATGTTCATTTTCAGATCCCATCTATATACAATAACTTGAGAGTCTGTCCACTAAGATAAGATAACATAACATAAGATACAATGAAGTCTTTTGCATACAGCAGCAAGGTAGTTAAAGCGAACACAAACATATAGTGCAAACCAAGACAATGTGGAGAAGTAAACACAGGGCAAGTAAGTACACAAACGTAAACATTAACATAAAAGTATATTAAGTAAATAATGACATATAAATAAAAATAAATAAACTGAAGTTGCTGGCTCTGATGGTATTTATAGTAAGGGACTTTTTATACAGAGTATTAAAGAGTATGAAAGCACACGTCTGTTCATCGCGATCGTAATAGTGTTTCGCTTTAAGCTCCAGTGCCGGGTCGGAGCCAGACCTTCTACAATGGGGTGGCCAGACTAGACCCAGTGATTTTACTGGGGTGGCAATGGGGTAATATTTTGCAAGCTGGGCCGCCACGGTACATCTTGCTGGTTGACTTAGCGACACGCCGTGACTGACTGATGACGGGTTGGCCAGCTCAGGTTTGCAGAGTTAAACGCTCCAGATTTTGTTTTTATTTTTTGGTGAGGGCTGGCAGGGGGGGCCACCCCTCCCCCCCCCCCCCTCCCCCTCCCCTTAGATCCACCCCTGATGTCAGCATCATTAAACCAGCACAGACATATCGGAGCACTTCAGCAGCTTGCAGCTGCGTCTCCAAGCTGCAGACCCTTGGAAACGATTGCTGAGCCCCTCCATGTCTGTCCCTCTGGCGCCCCCCTCCCCATGCAGACTGGCTCCAGGCTGTGCAGGTTCTAATGGTGCTGTCCAGTATCCTCTCCTTTGTCTCCTTCCTGGTGTTTATGTGGCAGCTTTTCACCATCCCTCGAGGGGCCCTCTTCTATTTCACCGGCCTGTGTCAAGTGCTGGCAGGTAGGACAGGAAAAGGTCACTCACCATCATAGTCTCAGTCCCAGAGGTGGAGAGTTCAGGTCCAAAAAGTGAAAATCCAGACCAACATTTTGTTTCCACCAACCAGTTGAGAACTGACGGTGACTTTGACTCTTCATACTCAACTGGTTGGTTGAAACAAAATCTTGGTCTAGATTTTTACTTTCTTGGACCTGAAATTTCCACCTCTGCTCCGATCCTGCAGATCAACCCTGTTTTCACTCAGGTGATCTTCATCCTTTTGGATGTTCTGACTGATAATCTAGGTCTGTTTTAACTCCCTCCTATCTCTCTCTCAGGTCTGACGGACTTTGCTGCTGCTGTTATCTACACACTACGTAACAGAGAAATCTTGGAGGGCTCCAGGTCACTGGAGGGCAACTTTGGCTACTGTTTCATCCTGGCCTGGACCTGCGTGCCCCTGCTCCTTTGCAGTGGGGTGCTCTACAGCCACCTACGCAAGAAGGAGTGACCACATCCCTCAAGGGCTTCCGTTTACACAGGTTCTTCAGCTCCACCTCAGATTTTAAGTACCAAAGTAATTATTTGAATAGTTACCACACCCAACCACCTCAACTCCCAAGGTGGATAATTGAAACATATGGCAGGATAATCTGCAAGATTCCATTCCTCCAGGACAGCGGTGGGGGGGGGGGGACCCCTGGATGAAGTTGACCCAATGTCCACCTCTTTCACTGCTACTTTCACAATTTCACAAAGCACCAGGCTTGTAGGCAGTAATGTCCCACCTCCGCTTGCCTGACATCACATCGTGAAGAAGGGCAGGGCATCTGAGCCAACGACAGCTCTCTGACTCACCCCTGCAAAAATAAGTCCCCAAGACAATAACAGACACAGCCCATATGATGAATTTCCAGATTTTCTTTCAGAAACTGCTATTAAGCTTTGTTTTTTTTTGTTTGTTTGTTTTACATGATTTCATTTACTGAGCATGGTGTTGTTACAAGCCTTTTATGAATAATGTTAAAACCATCATTTACTCCCCAGGTTTGTGTCTTAAATATTTATTTAATACGGACAACAGAGCACACGATTAGGAACAGGAAACAGCAGTTCAGGATTTTGTCCCATGTTGTTAAATTTCCCTTGTGAAAAAATAGTGCACTAAAGTATTTACTTGAAAAATACACTTAGCACAGAAAATATGCTTTCAGCAAAGTCTATTAAGTGTGTTATATCCCTAAAAAATGTACTAAAGTGTATTTGATTACAGACATACTTTTATTCAAGTGTGCTTCAGTGTACTTAATTATGTTTAAATGCAAAATATATTTTCCAAAAGTACACAGAAGTATAATGTCAGTGCATTAAAAAATATGTATAAAGAGAATGCATTATCATTATACTTATAGTGATCAAAGCACACTGTTAATACACTTTAATTCACTATTTTTTCACAAGGGTTAGACGTGTACAAACACAGGTTGTTTACTGTGGACTTTGACAACTCTGGCAGCTGTGAAGAGAATACTTAGATTTGTGCAAGGTGGATTTTACACGGCATTGATTTCAACCGCAGATGTGTGCAACCAGTGGAGGAACCGTGAATATATCAAACAAATCCGCATGAACTGGTGTGTCACAACACGTCTCCGTGCAGCGCCATCTTTGGTGATGTCATCCCGTTAGAGATCAGGACAGTAATCTCCAGGGAATCACATAATAGCGCGTAATGTTCAGTGTATGTTAAATATTCCACTGAATGACTCACAAAGTGGAAAAATGTAAAGGGACAGTCAGTGGTGGTTCTAGATTGTACGGCACCCAGGGCGAACCACCAGGCGACAAAAACTGTGTGTTTATCTCCCACCCCCACCCCCCCGCCAAAAAATAGTGTATACCATTCAACACTGCCCATAAACATCATATCATAAGCAAAGATACGGGATTGGGCTTGTCAGCATGCGTAAATTCCGCTGGTATCTTGTGACGGGGTTCTGACCAGTACTACTGCAGACCACCAATGGAAGATATGGATGTTCTAATGAAAGTAATGATAAAACTAAACAACAAGGAACAACATTTCACCTATTCTTCTTATTACTTAATGTATATATTTAAAATGAGTTAACATTTTTTAAAAAATAAAAAGGTGCCTAGGTTACAAACTGGATTCAAAGCGTCCGCTCCGACAAGATTGACTACCCCATGTGGTGACATGATGTCATAGACGTGACGTGAAACTGAGCGATAGAAAACATATCGTACAAATGTCACGACTTTTTTTTTTTTCTTTAGTGCAGGTGCCCCTTGCCACCCTGCTGCCCATGTCGCCCATTCCTAAATCCGCCAATGGATAAATTCCGGTGGGGGGGGGGGGGTAGCCTATGGTAATGCCGAAACCTCACTTTCTTGCCCTGAGGGCAACAACTGCATCACCTATTGGAACCTGCACTAGTATCCCTGCACTACCCCCTCCTGGGGGGGGGGGGGCACAATTTAATAATTGAAATTCAAAGGTCTGTTTATTGGGGGGGATGAATGAAACCAAATTAAATATTTGGGAGGGGCACATCCCCCTCTGTCCCTACGCCCATAATGACAAGGACAGCCCTTTTGCAAACATCACCAACAGGGACCCTCTACAAAGTCATACTGCTTATAAAGCCCTTGACGCCTATAAATTAAACGAGTATTGAAAATCCTGTTTGTCTTTATTTCGCAAGACTGGCAATGTGCTGTCCGCTGACAGCGCAGTGAAGGCATCTGACGTGACATGACACTCCTTTCCTCAGAAGCATGTCGCAGGGTTCATATGTGATGTCATGTAGCGACAGAGGCTGAACAATTGCAACATGGAAGCTGCAATATTCTTGTAAACCCATATTTAGAGCATATCACATTTCAAAAGAACCTGTCGTACAATTATACTGCATTTATATATTTTTTTAACTATTCAAAAGGTGGGAGGTGTGTAGGTTAATAACAGACAGCTCCACCCAAAGTGAGCCTCACCGTGTCCCGTCATGGCTTGTACCAGCTGACCTGCCGATCCGGAACGACCGGTAGGAGGACGCTCATGTCACAGAGCTCAAGAAAACACCTGTAGCAGGCAGGGGAGGAGCCCAGCGCAGACAGGTTACCGCTAGCCGGATCGGAGACGGAGCGCAATGAATGTGTGAGCAGCAGAAGGAGAGCGAGGTGAGCGGCAGGATCATCCGGCACGACCGAGGCGTCCCTACTGGCAGGCAGGATGCTCTTTCAGTTACTCTCAGAGAAAGAACCAGAAAGCATAACAGGGAACAGAAGGATCCAAAGGAAGTAGTGAGAAGAACCTTTTAGAAAGGTAAGTCGTCTCTCTGGTATCTAGTTATTAAACAAAATTTCCACAATGAAAATTAAACCTTTTCTCTAGTCATTCTATATAGTTATATGAGTTCTGTTTCACCTTGTATGGGAATGTCCAGGAGAAAATACAGCGATTCGTTGTTGTTCATTACAGGTGCTTGTGGCTTGTCTCTCTTAATCTTTGCTGGTGATGGAATTCCAACTCAGGCTGTAGCCTCAATTGGTTTCTGGGACAGTGACCGTCAAGGATTAAATTACACGCGAAAGAAACCCTGGGCGGTAATCTCTGTGGGATCTGCCGGTGCCGGCCCCTGCCACCGCAACCGTACGCCGCTGTTATGGACTGGCTCCTTTCCAGCCCAGCCACGCCGTGACTCTTGTGAGAACTGGAATCGCCAAAAGGCATCAGCCTGATCGTCAGCTGAGCCGGAGTCATGTCCAACTCCCAGGAGCAGAGCCTGGACGAGAACGCCGTTTTCGCTCCGGTTCCGGAGACTAGCCCCGAGTTCTTCCACTGCGAGAAGGAGCGGTATGCACTGGAGAGCCTGCTAAGCATGGGGCCCAACGCCTTTTATACTCAGCTAGAAAAAGAGCACCTAGACCCCTTCCTGTCTCGGCAGGAAGTGGAGCAGCTCAGTGCCTGGACCCAGGACTACAGCAGCAGCAGCAGTGAGGGCGTGGAACCTTCAGACGATAAGGGAGCGACTCCTGATGAGGGAGCGACTCCTGATGAGCTCAGCCCAGGAGTGGATGATCTCTCCATGTGCTACTGGCCCACGTTCTCAGACACCATACCGCCGGATCTAGAGCTTGGCTGGCCAGATAGAGATTCCTGGGCCCAACCGGGTGGCGTTCATATCTACACCAACCCCCCCATGCCACAGACCCCCCCCATACGGGAGGTGATCAGGAGGTTAATACAGGGAGCTCGCAAGGTCAGTCGATTTGCTCTTTTGATGTCGTGAACAATTTAATATCCACTTCTGTGTGTGACATTTTTTTTTAAACATCATACCCCTGCAAAAGAACACCTTCAGCGCTTACTGTTCCTGTCATTTTGCCATCTTCAGCCTCATTCCATCCTGTCTTCACCATAACCTTCTGTCACACGTGTTGTTGTTGGCATCACGCATACCCAGCAAACGAAAACGATAGCAAACGACCAAAAACAAAGAGACACATTAACATTAGTATACTGCTAATGTCAGCCAAAACACATTCAGTCAGAGAGCTCAGTTTAAATCGTGCATTAAATAATCCTCAAAATGAGGATTATAACAGTGCTGTATAATTCACGATTACACAGCACTAGTGTCACTGTACAAGTACAATTAGATGACGTTTAGATCAACCTATAGAAGCCTCAATAAAAATGGTACAAGCCAACAAAAATTTAAGGAAAACATTTAAAAAAAATAAAATAAATAGTATATAACAATTACAATACACAGTATGAAGGTACAGGATGAATATTGCACATAATATTGCAATAAATTATTGCATCTGAGAAAGGCAGCAGTTGAGAGTGCAAGATACTGATCACAATCAGCAGTATTGCATGGCATAATGGATTACAGGGACCACAACTGTGCTACTAAGGTGAATGTAATTAGCAACATTGTCATACAGTCACCATAGGCGATTGAGTGAAGGCTAGAAGCCAGAACAGTTGAAGTGCACGGCACATGTAGAGTGCCTGATGAATGAATGAATGAATGAATGAATGTTACATTTATATAGCACGTTTTCAACACCCAAAGTGATTTACAGAAGCAATGGGAAGCCAACTTCAACCTCTACCACTGTGTAGCCCCCACCTGGATGACACAAAGGCAGCCATTCTGCACCAGTATGCTCACCATACAGTAGCTAAGGTGGTGAAGGGGCAGGAGAGAATTCACCAGTTAGATATAGGGAATGATCAGGAGGCCAGATTTGAAAGGGCTACAGTTGGCAATTTAGCCAGGACATCGGGGTACCACCCCTACTCTTTCACACAGATGCCCAGGGATCTTTTATGACCTCAGAGAGTCAGAACTTCAGTTTTACGTCTCATCAGAAGGACGGTGCCATTTTTACAGCACAGTGTCCCCATCACTGCACTGGGGCACTGGGATCCGCACAGACCACAGGACGGGCTAAGCTGTTGGACTCACCAACATCTCTTGTAGCAGCAACCCAGCTTTCCCAGTTTGGGCCAAACCTGCTCAGCTGCACATGGATGACCTAGTCTGACCTGCAGGTGGTACAGCTGCTGGCTGATGTGTGTGGTGTGGATAAGTCACAGTTCAGTTCAGTCCGGTGCTGCTGTGAGTGTGTTTTCTGCTGTATAATTAGCAGTGGATTGACACAAGTATCCCAAATGAGTCTTAGATATTGGACATGTAATGTTTTAGTACACATGTATAAGACATTTTGTTCAATGTCTAGTCAGGTGATTTAAAACAAAAAATTAGGGACAATGTTTTGAAATCTGTTCTCGAATGACAACTCAGATTGCCAAAAACAACAAGAAGATGAATCACTAGATGCTAACAGTCAAAAGCAGCTCACGTTGGTCCCAGGCTTTTTGGTGACTGATTCTGTGTTTTCCAACCAGGTCATCGCTATAGTAACGGACAGACTGACCGATAGCCTCATAATAAATGATTTGTGCATTGCTGCATCTCACGGTGTCCCAGTGTACATCATCTTGAAC